GAGGGGCGGAGGCCGCGCGCCGTGAAGGTGGGGCCGGGGCCGGCTCTGCTGTGAGGGCGGCCGGGCGCTGCCGGCGGGTGGCTTCCCGGGGCCGGGCAGCTCACCAGCAGAGCTCCCTGCCTTCCTCCGGCTGCGGCCGCGGCGCCGCCGCGTCTCCGCCATCAGTGCTTGTCCCGTCCTGGGTGTGCTCCGGTTCCGCTCCCCTGGCTGCTGAGGCGCCCCGGGGCGCGGGCAGGCAGAGGCGCCGGAGGGAACGGCTGCAGTTGGGCCTGGTAAATCCGGTAACTCCCACGCTGCGTTGTGTAAATGAATCACTTAGAAAGGCGGGTAGCAGAAGTAGGCGACTTCTGTGCCCAATGTAAGCCCAAAGGTTAAGGGCAGCGCAGGGAAGCGGGCGGAGCTGAACGCGGCGGCTGCGCGGCACCACTGAACTCGGCAGGGCGGACGTGCGCCGGGCTGCTTTCCTACTTACGCTCTGGGGCCCGACAGCGGCGGGGAGCTGAGGGGAAGGCCACGCGTCGCAGGCTGCGCCTGCTGCCTGGCAGGAGCTGCTCGCTGCAGCAGCCAAAATGCCAGGTTTGCTTTTTGTGTGTGTGCATAACCCACAGCGTGCTGTAAAGGTGTCTTCTAGGGCTGACTTGGGAAAGAGAGCAGGTAGGAGTAAGCTGCTATCACAAGAACAATTTGTGGCGTGTTTGCAGAGAGTATCTTCTATGATGGCAGCTTGAGAACTGTTTTCCTGAGTGGTTCCCTCTTTGTCCTGCATTTGCTGCTCTTTGAGAAGGATGTGTAGCTCATGCAATCTAAGTGTTTGTTGTTTTTTTGTTTTTTGTTTTTTTAACAAATCAGAATGAATTCCCTTTGATCTTATGGTTCAGCTACCGATTGTATGTTGTGAGCTGCCACAGAACTTTCCTCAGAGTCTGTGTTACGCGACAGTCATTACACAAAGCAGAAGAGAGTCGTTTGTTTGGGTTTTTTTAACTTGCTTCTCTCAGCTTCTTACTTGTATCTGTCTGTCTTAAAAACGTATGCTGTTGGATCACTGTTGCGAGGAGGCGGCTTTGCACACGCGTGATCTGCCCCAAGGAATCGTGGTACCCTTTTTTTTCCCCCTCCTTGCGTTTTGCCTGCATGGCCTCTCTGCCCATGAAAGAGACAGGTTTTACAGTGTTTTTTTCTTTATTTTGACAGTGCCTTATATTAACTGGTTACTAGTCGGTCTTGCAAGGACACGGGCCAGAGACTTAGAGATTTTACTCAGCAAATGGCAGTACCCTGTCCTGGCGCAGAAGAGTCAACTCTAATTTGTGTTCTGCTTTGAGTAAGCACCTTGAGTTCAGTTACTCAGTTGTTAACTCAGTTGAGTGCAGTTACTGCTCCTGCAAGAGTCCAAAGTCAAAATAGAGTCCAGAAGGATTTTCAGCATCCTGAGAGGATTTGAGGAACAACAGAAAACACAGAAAATGCCGTACTTTTGCAGTAAAGCAAGAATGTGAACGTTTTAGAATACTCTCTTCTTTTTTTTTTCAGGTTTATACTATCAACTTGGAATCTCGTTATTTACTGATACAAGGAGTTCCTGCATTAGGAGTTATGAAGGAACTGGTTGAACAATTTGCATTATATGGTGCCATTGAAGAGTATCATGCTCTAGATGAATATCCAGCAGAGCAATTTACTGAAGTTTATCTTATAAAATTCCAAAAACTGCAATGTGCAAGGTATTGGACAGGGCAATATCTGCCTCTTGCTGTCTTAATCTTTTACACCTTCTTTATTTACAATCTGTTAAGATTCTAGAGAGCTGAAGTAAAATCCTCAGTTTTGTCAATACAATTTAATTCCCTCCAGGGTGGCCAAGAAAAAAATGGACGAACGAAGTTTCTTTGGTAGTTTGCTGCACGTGTGCTATGCTCCAGAATTTGAAACAGTCCAAGAAACCAGGGAGAAGTTGCAGGACAGAAGAAAGTATATAGCAAAAGCAACAAATCAAAGAGGTTTGTAATTAAATTCCCTATAGAATCTTAACGTCTCGCTTCAGTGGTGGGTGAGATTTTCGTTAAAGTGCCCATTAAAGAAAATGCTTGGTATCTGGCCGTTTTAAAGATGCATTTTAAGTATGTTTGCAGCTGAATGGAGACATATTTCAGTATTTAGAGGGCTGCATCTTTTTCAAAGCAACTTTTTGCTTTTGGTTAAGACTAAAATAAGTAAATGCTTAAGCTTTAATAATGAAGTATTTCCTTCTCTTTTTGTTTTCAAAATGTCATCAGAAATTTCAAGCACTGGCAGGAAATTTGGGATCATATTTTCAGCCTTGTTCCAGCTTATTCAGGCACGCCCAAAGGGACAGTCTGTAAGGAAGGTGACTATACCAGAACCTTCAGCAAAAAACTTCTCCAGCATACGTATCAGCACTGGAGGAATGCTAAGGATGGACTGGGTTTACGAAGGCTACTGTACTGCAGAGTTTCTGGGCAGTGCTGAAACTGGGCAAGCTGAGAAATAAGCAAATGGCCAAGCACAGGCTTCTCCTTTCTTGTGCTTATGTCCTTTGATATCGTTATTTATTGCATGAGGGTATTTTAAGGGAGTAAAAGCACTGATTTTTAACATCAAAACGCCTGTTTCTTTCAATGTTGCAAGACAGCATATCCTTCTTGAGATCATAACTGGAGGTAAAAGTCATTGATTTGCAACATTAGAAATATTTTCCTCCTGTTCTCAAAACTGCTGAAATAATTCTGCTCAGGCATTCTTCACAAACCAGCAGAGAGCCTGGGCTGAAAAACTTTAGTCTGAAAGGTGCCACTTAGGAAAAAAAGAATCACAGAAAGGTGGCTGGGAATGAAATCTCACTGGTATTGCTTCTGTGATTGTATTAAATGTTTTTTCTTATGTGTGAGAAGTAATAATGACATGAAATAGTGAAGCTACTTTTTTTGTTGTTTTAAAGATTGCTTTGTGTTAAAGAAGGTAGAGGGGCCTGAGAAGACTGTCTCGAAGAACTTTGACTGTCCATGGAGTACACCAGGGTCATGTACAACTGGTAACTGGGATCCATCCTGCTTTACAAGTTCTCACAGGGTATCCCAAAACACAGGCTATCCATCTGGGAATCAGAATCGGAGCCTGCTGGCATTTCCCCAGGATGGTAGCAAGTGTGCTGAAACTTCTGGGTACTTTGCTCAAAGCACATCCCTAGCTCTAAACGTACAGCCGGGAGGGTGTACTCCACCAGCTCCTTTAATGCAGCAAAGAACAGTTCCGATTGATAATGGAATTGATAGGTTTATGCCTCGTACAACTCACCTGCAAGAACGTAAGAGGAAGAGAGAAGAAGGTAACAAGTTTTCCCTCATTGGAACAAGTGCGGACAATACTGAAGTCATTATTGGCCCACAGCTACCAGAAATACCTAAAGTGGATATGGATGATGATTCATTGAATACTTCAGCTACATTAATTCGAAATAAACTGAAAGAGGTATGGATTCTGAAAGTTCTGATATTTTCATTTTCAAACATATATATTATGTGCTTGTTATCTGTAAAAACAGAGACCCTGAGATAACTTAATTCAACATTTATTCAGTGTTAGCAGTTTATGTGCTACTTAAAGCTAGCGTTCAGCTCTTCCATAATGCAGAATATTGCAGGCCATTCCACTCCATACCTCTTACACCGGACTTCAGAAAGTATAAATGTCAGTGCAAATGATTTTTTAGTAAACTGCACTTTTTTTCCACATGGGGAGGCATGATAACTTTGGAGGTAGTCCTGCTGACTCCAGGGTGGTACTTGTATCTGGTTTCTGATTGAAAGGGAGTGAAAAATAGCGAAGTCAGTGTTCAATGTAATTTTGCTCCAGCACTTTTTAGGGCATTAAAAGATGTACAGAACCATGCTGAGAAGCATGTCTTAAGCTATATAACCTTTTATGGAGGATATTCATCAATTAGCACATCAAAGACTCCTGATATAACTTTCCGTTTAGATTAAGATATGAAAAACTCCCTTGACTATGACTAATTAGACTGATTTGAAAGAGCATATCTCCAGTCAAATTGATAAATAAGCACCCCTTCTATTAAATACATTTCTAAAACGGGTCAAAACACACATTTTTCCTTTCCCTTCCCTTTCTTCCTGGAATACCTGAGTTTAAAAAGCGTACTAAACCTTACTTTGAAAACACCTCTGGTAGGGAGAGGGGTGATAAAATATGTAGCACGCTATCACTGAGCATCTGAAATCAGTTTGTGTGCTTAAAATATAAGAATGGTACTGCTAACACTTCTGTTTTCCAAGTTTCACCTCTCTTGTGTTTAATGCTGCCTTTGGTGTTACTTCCTTCCCCCCCCCCCCCCTCCCTTTTTCTGCAGGAAAATTCAATACAAGTGTGATTATAGTAATACATCCCGCCCAATACTCAAACGTTGGAGACACGGCCTTACTCTAAAACTAGCATAAAAAAGAAGTGGTTACAGTTTACTAAGAATTTTTTTTTTCCCCAATTTAGGTAGCAGATTCTGTTTCAAGAACATCTGTGGAAAAGCCAGAGAGCAGCTCAGCCAAGCCACTTGTAAAGCAGAGAAGAAGAATATAGATACTGCTGGCAGCATCTTCCAACAGTCATTTTTTTAAAGGATATAGTTTAAAATGCTTACTTTTTTATGTTAAAAATTAAAGTATTTTATACTGTATTTCCAAGCAGTTCCCTTTTAAAAATTGTATCAATTTGTTTTTTTGAATGAACAAACCAGTATAATACATTATTGTTATAATCCTATCCTGTGTACCTCATACTATAACGTATTTCATAAATCACTGAAGAACTGTATTTAGGTAGAGTAATAGAAGTAAATACTATTTATTCAGTAGCTTTTACAGTAAAGGAACATGGAGATTTAGTAACAGTTTCAAGTTGCTCCTATTTTTACTATACCATGAAGAACGGTGAAGAAAAAACTTCTTACAACAGTATTCCACTTGGAGCTACAGTTTACGAGTTTCCTGGAAAGTTTTCTGTTCAAATACCATACTGCTCTGTTAAAAAAAAAAAAAAAAAAAAGGTTCATTTTCAATTAACTAAAGGATTTAAATTTAATTGGAAAAGATGCTAAACTGAAATGTGTAAACAGTGACAGTCCTTACACTTTGGCTACCTCTTGCTTTTTAGCTTAGAAAAGGTAAATTTCATAGCATTAACGAAGTCATCACCAAGAGACCAGTCACAACATTCAACCTTATAACTGAAGGGGAAATTCAAATTGTAACTGCTCAGCAGTGGTAATGTGTGACCAAGGAATGATCTGGCATGGAGGGCAAGAAGGCCTTGCTGCAGAACAAGGTTAAGCTGGCTAGAAGCAGGAACGCCAGAGACTGACAGAGACTGAGATGGCTTAATGTAAAGGAGCGTAATTTCCCTTGGTGATGAGATAAGAAATAGCCGCAGCATCGTGTTGTGACAAACCTGGAGTGGGAGCACTTGGGGGCCACCTTGGGGCAGCAGAACTGATGCTGCGGGGGTGAACCCAACACTGGGCTAAGGTGCCCGATGCTGGCGCTCACAGGATTGGTGCTGGTGCAAGCATCTATAAGGAGTCAGCTCGTGGTGCATCTTCGCAGACTCCCTGTAGAACTGCTTATGGTGGCAGGACTCCGTCCAGTAATGTCTTGTTCATTACATTTTTTTTAAAATGTATTGAAGTACAAATCAGTGTTTAATTTGTGTCAAGGGGTACAATTAAAATTCACCAACATAACCCCACTGGGAGATCTAGTAAATTATGGGTTTTCTTCATGTAAAGCTCATAGCCAAAATTTATTTATTGCTTTTAGGGCTTGAAAGGACACGTAAAAAGAGTTCTCTTTCAACAGTGAAACTAGAGACCTAGTTAAAAAGGCAACAGTTGGGTAGGGTACAGAACAGAGGGCACAAATACTGTAAGCAAGAAACAAGCTGAGTTTTTTACCTCTTGCCATGATTAGCCTGAATTGCGTACCTGCTTTATCACCAACACTGACAGAAAGCAAGTCATTTTTCTATGCTGATGAGTGAACGTAATTTTGTTCAGGAACTTTTTAAAACCTTTTCACTGGTGTAAAAAACAGAGTACGTACTTGTGTTTTCCCAAACCTTTGAAAGTCTTGTGACAGTAATACAGCCTGCAGTCATGGCTACAAGACTCTTCCTGTCCTCCAGCCTACCAGGAAGGTGAGCTAACAGGAAGCATGGGTTTCTGGCAAATGAAAACTTGTGTTTCCAGCTGTCTTACACAACATTTCTGTTTCTAGGAATCACTCCACGTATTTTAGAATTTTGTTTTTCCATCTCTATGAACTTTTAGTATTTAAAAATGACACACAATTTAAATAGAATAATGATTATTGGATTAGGAAAAAAAATTTATTATAAAGCAGAAACGCTCTCCACAGTTGAACTTAACGCTGAGGAAATAGTATGTTCTAAATTACCATCTTCCAAAAAAAAATTCTGAATTGAATTAGATATATTGCTAATAAATAAAGCCCAGTTAAATGTAATTAAAAAACAGCAGTGCCACGCTCTGAGATGAAGAACCCTCTCAAGGTGTCTTTTTCAGAAAGTGATCAGCCTCTCCCAAAAGAGGCTATAAAGTGAGGTGATGGCAGTGTTGCCAGTGGCACTGAAGAAAGAAAAATAAAAGCTGTATTCCTGGAGAGCTTTCGGATAAACAATTCAAGAGGATGGTCTCATTTTCTTGGCCTGAGAGGGTGCTCATTGAGGATCACTCGTTATATTGCTGCCCCAGGACAGACAAACATTGAGTAGCTGTGCTCTTACATTCTCTGGTACCAATGTTTGACTGTGTAAGGAAACATCAGTGCTGGGAAAGGTAGACAGGAACTCAGCACGTGCCTGTCTCACAACTGAAGCACTTATCAGTTGACTTCAGCAGGCCCCATGTAATGACAGTTGATACCATAATACATGCATCTCCTTAAAAAGAGTAGAGAAAGTATTTGCACATTTTTTTTAAACTCCAGGTTGATGTACCTTTATGTCTGGCAAACATGGTCCAAAGGCTTCTAAGAGAAGATTTTCATCTCTGACTGCTTTTTCAAAGTCCATAAAAGAAAGCTTGCCATCACGATCATAGTCCTACAAAAGGAAGGGAACTCTTCAGCAAAGGATAATCATTTGTAGCAACTGTCTTTTGTTTAACAGACATTTTATTCACACGGATTCTATTTTTAGTTTGAGTGTATGGAAAAATAATTTTCTTGGGGCCATCAGTCTCTGCTCAGATGAGATCTGTACCATTTGCCTCTACCTAAGGCATAAAAAGTGGAGCAAGCTCAACTATCTCATACACAGTTACTTAAGTGAAGATTGATGGGTGGATATGACCAGTATTCAAGGCACAAATCAAAATTTTTGAAGATCAAGCCATGGAACCATCATAGCTGGTGAACATGCAGGGTGCATAGGTGCTAATGGCCAGAAAAGCAGGGGCAAGGGGCTATGTAGACAGAGAGATTCCTGAACAGGAAAACCTGCCACTGGATGCTTAAGAGAAACAGAAGTGGCCAGGTACCCTCTACCTTTTACGCTCCTCAGCACAAGGGAGAGCAGAGCATGAGCGTGTTCATTGCAAATGCTTTTAAGTATGAAAACGGTTATCATGCGACTGGATGTATGCTTAGTCACAATGCCGCTGTACCTACAGGAAATTGCTCAGAGAGTGGTTTTTTCTTCTTTGAGTGATGGACTCCACAAACGCATTTTTGGGTATCTAATAATTAGTTGTTTAGTTATTTGAGATAGGCAAGAGTATCCTACTTGGACAACTGCCCAGCAGCCAAGTCAGATCTGGACATTCTTCAAACATGTATCGGACCTTTATTAAGTTCTCATGGAAAAGCTGGAACAGGATTATGTACATGATTAGTTTATAATATGTTCTTACATACGTGAAAATTCAGTATGCCTAGAGGACAGTGCTTGTGCTTGGACTAGCATAGCCCACTTATCAACTGCCCAGAGCACGAGGGTGTTCATTTTGGATGCAACCTGCAGGAAAGCTGAGCGTGTAGGTGCTCCAAAGATGAACAAATTGCCGAGTCATAGTTTGCTTTCTCTGTGAGAGCAGAATCACACTGTCAAGAACTAAGGGTAAGATGGACCTTTCAGCTGAGGTTCTGCAAAAGGGGTGGGAATGAGAAATAGAAAAGACGGGGTTAAATAAAAGGAGTTGGGATTCAAGACCTGGTTTTAAGCGAGATTTTTGAACACCATCATAGGAGGGGAGGTTATATTTCTTGATTTGATGAAAATGTTGAAACACAGTCCCTGGCTGATTTGGATATCCTAGATGAATCATGGCATGAGAAGTTTTACATGAATAACCTTGAGGTTACTATTCTAATAGAATATATAAATTGGATAAAGACATTTAATGATCAATTGATAAAATACAAAAGTACTTAATTATAAAGTTACTGCAGATGCCTAACACTGGAATAAATGCAACTTACGCTTTTGAATTTTCCACTTTTGACTGGACTTTTGTTTTGACTGGGCATGCACATGTGTGTATGCACACATACACATGCTAGATTATACATAAAGTTTATAATACAGTCACATAATAAATTAACAGTTTCATGTGAGGATACTGGACTGGGACTCGTTAGATCTGGATTATATTTCTGCCTTTCCTTAGGAGACCTGTTTATCTCAAGTACATAACTAACTCTGTGGCTCAGAATCCCACTGTAAATCAGACACAGTATTTTGTTACCTCATAGGAATGTTCTAAGGTTCAGTTAATGAATGTTTGAAAGACACTCAAGTATCACAATAAGTAAGTACTTGCCATTTTCTTCAGTGCTATGTCTACCAAGTCCTTAATTCCCTCATCGGGATCTTCTTCTGATGGTTGTTTAAGGAGGCTGTTTTTCAGCATTTGAAACATTTCCTCTCTTGAAATGTATCCATCACCATTCAGGTCGTAAACCTCAAAAGAGTCTTTTTGAGAGACAAATAAATTTAAAGTTCATATAAGCTATATCACACACCATTAAAGCTGTCTGTTACCTATAGACAGAAAATGTGAATTGTATGTTGTACAGCGTATCTATCGAGCCATATTTACCATATATCATATTTATATATGATATATGGTAATACGAAATATATGTATCACATTTTGATACATACACCAGTCAATTATTGCCTATTTACCCTTCATAGTTAAAATCTATTTCTGCTCAAATAAATAATCTTCAGTTCACAGAAACCATAGTAACTTACAGAACTTCTCTAAAATTGTCTAAATCTCTAAAATCTCTAAAATTTAGCATATAAACAAGGTTCTGGTGTAGAAGCCCAATTTCCCACGGCAGGGACCAGCTGTCTGTACCAGAAGGGCTTTGCACCTACAAAACACATCCTAGTTATTTCAGGAGCTGAGTTAGAAAAGTAGAGGAAAAAGAAGAATGAGCTGTACTACCATGGAAAAGACAACGGAAGTATCCCTTAATGAAAAGAGAAAATCTCTGTAACAGAGTATTTTAGGCATGAGTATCTGCCTAATTTATCTTCTAATTGTTTCTACCTCCCTGGAATCAGAAATGTAGGACCATAATAACTTCACTCTCCTTCACAAAACTTATTTGAATGAACAAACAGAACTCAGTTTTGGAACACAAGAGGTTTTTTTTCTGCCAAAGACTAAGCTTACAGTGAAAAATTGTGCTGGCATACATTTATGACAGGCAACACTGTATACCACTATGCACTAGTGCATTCTATAGCGCTTACAGCAGGGCTGCATATTTTACTGCTTGTGGTTGTACTGACATACTGAACTACATTCCAGGCCACCTTCCACTGCAATGCTTTATAATGAATTTATATAGGGCATTAAGGATGGCTGATGCTGCAAACTGGAGCTATGGAAACAACATCCTGTCACTCTCCTTTCTCTATTATACTTTCCCTCCACCCTATCCCCTCCCCCCCTCTTTTTTTTCCCCCCGCTTCTTAAAATTCTGGTGTTCTTGCTATTTTTCTCTCCTTTCTCCACCGTTACTGTGGAGCTTCCCATGACCATCTTACAAACAGACTCAATGTTTCCATCTATGCTTCCAGGCTGAAGAACTGCTAGACTGAATATGACTGCTGCTGTGGCCCCATTGTGCCAGTAAATAAATGTTGGCACGGGTCTTGGTTAGTTTGAGTGTGTTATTCAGCCAAAATCACTGTTGAGCTACATCTGCTTCTTTGTAATTTTGTGTGTGAATACAAAAACATATATTCTGTCAAAAAAACTGTATACTATAGAACAAGCTTCAGTTCAAAAGCTATTTTTTTGTCAGCAATAAAATACGGTAGCAGCTATGATAACAGCAGTTTACACAGAATAATCTCTGTCTCAGAGAAGCCATTCAGTATTCAGTTTCATTGCATTAAACTACACAGAAGAAAACCCTTCAATTACCAAACACTTTGTAAGAGTAACTACTAAATTATAACAAAAGCAATGTGTAATTTAATAGCCATAAATTCCATGACTGCTACTAAGTAGTAGCATACAGATAAACCTTACATTTAATCTTTTCTTCCAATGTCCCCCGAAGAAATACTGATAAGCCTTCCACCCATTCCACCACGTTGATGCAGCTATCGTTGTCTCTATCAAAAGTGCGGAACACTGAGAAGTGTATTAGATGCATTTTAAATTTATATAATAGGGAAACACAAACGAGTATTTTCTTAAATTCAATGCAAATATAAACCCATGTTTTTTCTAAAGATGTTTCTCCGCTTTCATCAAGGTATGATTACCCTTCTTGAATCTTTCTAAGCTATAACAATGAAGGGGATTTTGCCCCTTAGTTTACTGATCTTCCACTCCAGAATCCTGCTGGGATAAGACATTTTGTTTCATCTCTTGCCTTCCTGACTTAAACAACTCCAGGAAGTATGCTTCCATGCAGACATCAACGAAATAAACCAATATCCCTTACACTAAGGCATATTTGCACGTAGAAGAGGATTTTAATTACTAGGTTGTGCCTCAGAAAATCTTGGAGAAAGTTATCCTAGAAACAATATATAAATATTTCAAATATACAAAGAAAAATAATCTTCTCCTGTCTTTCATGTACCAAGATCTTTTTTCTTCTCCCTTCCCTGAAATACGAAACTTTCAGTCTTGCAGCTTCACTATTCATACAGCCTGTAATATAGTACTTCAAATCCAAGATATGATTCAAAGCACCAACTAACATCTATTTCTAATTCATATTTTAGAATGTTAATTACTAAGTTGGCTACGGGAACACCTCTACATGCAGAGCCAAGCATTTTGGAATTGGAAAACAACAGCTTTGCTTTTGCAACTGAAATCAGCCCCCTGTTATCTAAGCATTAAAATAGTTTTTAAGAACGTGTCCATGTACGGCATTTTCCAAGACACACTTGGCTTGTTGCATAAAATAGCATTTAAATACCCCTCCTGCTAGAGAGCGGGAGAAAGTTGCACCAAGGGGTGGCTCTTGGCGGCCTGAGGCTGAAAAGAATGCAGACTCATGCCCCCTCCACATCCTCCTTTAGACACCTGTACATCAGAGATCATTCCTGCGACCTTCATGGTAACTGCAAACGCGGCTCGCAGGTTAATCTGTGAAACCGCTATATTTTCAAGGGGTTATCTGGCGCGTTACTCTCACCTCCCTGTAACGTCTGCCTAGTCCCTTCAGTGCTGTTCACAGCACCTCTATTCCAGAAGTTACCCACTCTAACAGAACGCCTTTCTGGGACCTCCAAGCCCGAGACAGAGCACCAGCAGCAGTGACTGCAGCGCCCGGTGGAACCAGCGGAGAAGAACGTGACACCATGCTGCCCTCTTCTGTCACGACATTACAGCGACTGGGATAGAAACAGCCACAGGAAAGCACTACAGCTGCCTCTCTGGCTGGTCTCCCTCGTACAAGAGCGTGAGCTATCCTGAACTCAGGGAAAATTGTTCCACAGAAAGAAAAAGCAAGATACCCTTTACTCAGCAGCTCCTGAGCATAACCCTTCCTTTGCTGTCCTTACAGGGACGAAATGGCACAATTTTGTCTAGGCATGCTCATCGGGTTGACGACATAAAACTAAGACCGTATGCCTTTTTTAGACCTATCAGTCTCACCTCTGTCCATGATCATGTCATCCGTCATGCCAAACGCGCTGTGCAGAGTGTCTCTGAACATGTTACGGTCAAAGCCGACCGCAGCAAAGCGGCTGCTGGACTTGGCCACCAGCGCGTCGAAGAGCTTGATCAGGCATTCCACTTCGCTCTTGTTAACTGCCCAGTCGAAACACAAGCGAACATATTTTATAACTTAACTTGGTAAAAACACACGGCAGGCGCAGGGAAGCTACAGGGCCCGCACACCTCAGGCGTTAACCGTTACAGCCGCCGCCCACACCCCTCCGCCCCGTACCCGCTGCTCCGAAGAGGGCGGCGGGTGGCGAGCAGGGCCGCAGACTGAGCACGGGGGACAGCGGGAGGCCGCCGGGGGCAGCCAAGGCCCCTC